CCCCCTTCTGGTCTCAGCTTCATCCCTTTATACAGGCCCAACCTGCTCTACCCAGCTGAACTTCTTTTTTCATTAGGCTGTATTGATCCTTGGGTCTCCTCCAGGTGCACCATATAAGGTTAATTGATGGATTTTAACCTGCTTTGCCTTGTGTGGGGGTGCACATGGCATTATAGTAACCCACGAGGAAGCACATACTAGGGTGAGGCAGTTGTACGCTGCTGAGCAGGGCCTCACAGATACTCTGGTATCCCTATGCAGCAGGTGGCTTGAGAGCCTGCCACTGGACTTTGTGCTCTGGAACTTCCCCTCTCCTGGTGCCAGGATTCCCAATCCATGGACAAGGCACACCTCTTCCATGTGCTGTGTGCTGATCATGCTGGCTCCATGATTGGAGTTTTCACTCTATGTATGTGACTAATGTAATAGGAATGGCCATACTAGTTCAGACCAGGGTCCATGGAGTCTGGTGTTCTGGTCTCTGACAGCATCCAATACCAGCTGCTCCTGGGAAAGGTGTCAGAATCCTTGTAATGTGTAATTGGAGAATAGTCCACTCATAAGGAAAAACTACTAAGCCCTTCAGCCCCTAGTTGGCTTAGGCCCTAAACAGGAAGGTTTATATCCCTTATAATATTTGATCCCATCCAAACTGACTTTGAATGTTCTCACTAGCCATATAAGTGTCTAACAAGCTCTTTGTCTTACTGTGGCAGTGAGTTCCACAGATTAATTGTGTTGTATAAAAAATGTCTTTCCCCTTAACAGTCTTAAATTTTTGCCTCTTCACTTAATTGAATTTATCTTAGTTCTTGTATTATGAGAAAAGATAAATGGAAGTGCCCCGTTTGCCTTCTCTAGTCATCATTTTATGGGCAACTATAATTTCACTTCTTATTTATCTTCTCCCATCAAAATAGTCCTAATCTTTCTGTTTTTTTTCACACAGGGGACATCTTTTCATGTGTCATCAGTGTTGTTGCCTACCCCAAGCTCTTTACATTTCTGCCATATTTATAATTTTGAGATAGGGTGAGCAGAACTGAAAACTAGTGAAAGTGAGTACATGCCATCAAATTACATTAAGAGGTTTTAAGGCCAGAAGGGATCATTATAACCATCTAATCTGGCATCTTGTACAGGGGTGGGCAAACTACAGCCCATGGGCTGGATCCGGCCCATCAGGGCCCCACAGGCCCCCTGTGGCCCTGCACCATTCCTAGAAGCAGCTGGCACCGTGTCCCTGCAGCCCCTGGAGTGTGTGTGTGAGTGGGGGGAGACAGAGGGCTCCGTGTGCTGCCCTTGCCGGCAGGCACTGCCCCCCACAGCTCCCCACCGCGGCCAAAGGGAGCTTCGGGGGAGGTACCCACAGGCTAGGGCAGTGTGGGAAGCCTTCTGCCCCCCATCTCCCAGGGGCCGCAGGGATGTGGTGCTGGCTGCTTCCAGGAGCAGCGTGGGGCCAGGGCAGGCAGGGAGCCTGCCCTGGCCCTGGTGCATGCCGCTGCCACCCTGGAGCTGCTCCAGGTAAGTGGTATTGGGCTGGAGTCCGCACCCTGAACCCCTCCTGCACCCCAACCCCCTGCCCTGAGCTCCCTGCCACACTTCTCCTGCACCCCAACCCCCTGCCCTGAGCCCCCTGCTGCACCCCACACCCCTCCTGCAGCCCAACGCGCTGCCCTGAGCGCCCTGCTGCACCCCGCACCCCTCCTGCACCCCAACCCCCTGCCTCAAGCCCCCTCCCACACTCTGCACCCCTCCTCTGCCCCAACCCCTTGCCCTGAGCCCCTTCCTGCACACTGCACCCCCTCCCATATTCCACACTCCAATCTCCTGCCCCAGCCCTACATTCATGGCCCTGCATGCAATTTCCCCACCCAGATGTGCCCCTTGGGCCAAAAAGTTTGCCCACCTCTGATCTTGCATTATGCAGCCAGAATGTAAAGTGATAAGTCACTCCTGTGCTAAAGCCAATCCACAAACCAGGAACTGGTCTGGTGATTTTCAGGGCAGGTATTTAAGCCTCACAGGAGTAGCTCACTCTGCTTAATGTAATTCTAGCTTTTGGAATTCTCTCTGGCCTGGTAGTAGTAACAGATGCCCCAAGCCTTAGCCTGCTCTGGCCTTGCTCTTGCCCGGTTCCTAGTCCTGTTCCAGCCTTGCTCTCACTCAGACCTCGCTCCAACCCTGCTCTGGACTCCTGGCTCTGACCACTAGGACCAACTGGCACGGCTCTGACAATTAGGCATGATGATCCCTATTATGATTTCTGACACAGAGAATGTCACCACTAATTCCTGCAGCAAGACAAATAATCTGTGGTTGAACTAGAGCATGTGTTTCAGAAAGACTCCCAATTTTGAGGGAGACAATGTGGCCTAGTAACTAGAGAATAGAAATTGGACATAGGAGACCTGGGTGTTATGCCTGGATCTGCTGCTGAGGTACTTTGGACAAGTCACTTCAACTCTCCATGCCTCAGTTTCCCCATCTGTAAAATGATACTGACTTCCTTTGTTATGTGCTTTGAGTTCTATGGATTAAAAATCTTATATATTATTTGATTTAAAGACTTCAAGTGATGGAGAATTGACTATATTCCTATAATTTATTACATCACCACTACATTCCTAGATAATGTATAATCTGCTCCAATGCTTAATTACTCTCAGTCACTGCTAAAAATTTGCATTGTATTTCCAGTTTGAATTTTTGGGGGCTAAATTGAGAAGGGCTTCAAAAGCAAGGGCCAAACTGAGAGATAACATGAAGAGGGAGTGACACAGTCAAGGCAATGGACTAGAAAGATTATCTTGGTGGTAGCATTTAGAATGAACTTTATGGGGGCGAACTGGGAGTACTTAGATGAGTCTGGAACAAGGAGCTGCAATACCCAAGATGATCAGAGCTTGGCCAAGGATTTTGGCAGAATGGGCACAGAGGAAAGGTTGGATCTTAGTGATGTTACGCTGGAAGAAGCAGCATGGTTTAAACATGGCCTGGATGCGTGGGTCAAAAGAAATGGATGAGTCAAAGATGAAGCATCCTGAGTGACATGGAGGATGGTGGACGACACAGAGGATGGGTGGGTTTAGAGGAAGATCAGGAGATTGGTTCTGGCCATGTTAAGTTTCAGTGGGTGACTGGATATTCATGTGGAAAAGACATAAGAACAAGAGCGGTCACACTGGGTCAGACCAAAGGTCCATCTACCTCAGTACAGTGGCCAATGCCAGGTGCTCCAGAAGAAATGAACAGATCAGGTAATCTTCAAGTGATCCATTCCCTGTCACCCATCCCCAGCTTCTGGCAAACAGAGGATAGGGACACCATCTCTGCCCATCCTGCTTAATAGCTATTGATGGACCTATTTTCTATGAATTTATCTAGTTCTTTTTTGAGAACTGTTATAGTCTTGGCCTTTACAACATCCTTTGGCAAAGAGTTCCACAGGTTGACTGTCTGTTGTGTGAAGAAGTACTTCCTATTGTTTGTTTTAAACCTGCTGCCTATTAATTTCATGTGGTGATCCCTGGTTCTTGTGCTATGAAAAGGAGACAGACCATGATTTTGGTTTGGATGAAGGGAGGCAGGTCCTGAGTAGTGATTTGTGAATCACCTGCATAAAGATCGCTTTGTTCTTCTTTGTTCTCTCTTGTAATTAGTTTACAATCTGTGACAGAACTACACCGCTTCCCCAGGACTTAATTTTACTTAATTTCCTTAGTGGCCTCTTCTGAGGAACTCTATCAGAAGCTTTTCGAAAGTCCAAATAAGATCCACTAGCTCTTCTGTATCCTCTGCTTTGTTGAGTCCTTCAACTAATTCTAATGGACTGGAGATGCTGATTTCCTTCAGAGAACTTCTTGTTATTTAGATTAAGTGTAGATTAAGGATAGGTATACACTAGAATCGTTACAGGGGCGCTGCTAATGCAAATGCTCTATGGCAACGGGGGAGAGAGCTCTCCTGTAGGCATGATTACTCCAGCTCCCTGAGTAGCTCTGATGCTCTCCCGCGGTTATAGCACTGTCCACACAGGCACTTAGGTGCGTGTAATTTATGTAACTCAGGGTGGTGGCTTTTCCACACTCCTGATTGACTTAAGTTATATTGAAGTAAGCGCTAGTGTAGACCTGCCCTAAGTAACTTGCTCCAGATCACACAAGAACTGTGAGGCTAAATTGGGACTTGAATGCGGGGGTCTCTCGCCTTGCCTCTTCCACCAGACCCCAGCCTTTCCACCCTGTCATAGTTTTCTTGGCTTGGTCTGAATCAGTGGTGTAGCTAGGAGTGGAAATTTGGGTGAGCCATGACTTTCGGGTGGAGGGGCAATGCCAGACTGTGCTAGTTTAGCTTTTCCCCTGATGCCATGCCCTCTTCCTAGCCCTGGTGCCCCCAGACACAGGGCTTCACCTGCCAAGCTGGGCTCGTGCATAGGGTGGCTCAGAAAATGGCAAGGCAGAGCTGCCGGAGCATAGTTTTCTGAAGGGCGGGTGCCTAGCTCCCTCCCGGAGTTCAGTGTCCGACTGACACTCCAGCCCGGCTGCTGTGGCAGCATTACGCCCTGCTCAGATTTGGGTGGGCCTGGATGCTAAGTGCATGGGCCAGCCCACCGGAGGCTACGCCCCCGGTCTGGATTTCCCTTTCCAGCTCAGCAGCGGCGTCCCCCATGTCTGTGTGGACTCTCTGGAGCCCTTCTTGCTGAGGTTCATGCTTGTCAGAGGGTTTGTACCTCTGCCTGTCTCCCAGGGCTTGGCTCCATGTGCTCTGGATCTGTCCTGTGGGATCCCGATCTCTGGGGCGGATCCCAGTCTGGGTCAGTGTTCCGGGTTTGCCCCTCTGGGGCTCCTCGTCCAAGTCTGCCTCCGTGCTCCCCGCCTGCGCCCGAGGGCGGTCTGTCTGCGCGGGGATCCCGCGCGCCGGGTTTTCGCTCCGCCCGGCTCAGTGAGTCACGGCGGCTCCGGATCCGGGCTCCGCGCTCCGGGTCCCCCGCCCCGTGCGCGCTGAGCCGAGCCCGGAGCGCGGCGGCCGCTGAGAGCCCCCGGCCGGAGGCGCGGAGCGGCCTGCACTGAGCGCGGCGCGGCGGGATGGCGGCGGCCCCGGGCCCGTAGCCGGCGGCGCTGGGAGCCCGGCGGCTCCATGGAGGAGACTTAGGGGAGCGCCCGGGACGGGACCGGAGCCGGGTGAGTCCGGGATCGGCCGCGGGGCCTGGCGGGGGGAGGGGCTCCCGGAGCGTGACCCCCTCCCCCCCGGTGAGTCGGCGGGGGGGCCCGGAGCGTGACCCCCTCCCCCCGGTGAGTCGGCGGGGGGGCCCGGAGCGTGACCCCCTCCCCCCGGTGAGTCGGCGGGGGGGCCCGGAGCGTGACCCCCTCCCCCCCGGTGAGTCGGCGGGAGGAGGGGGGGCCCGGAGCGTGACCCCCTCCCCCCCGGTGAGTCGGCGGGGGGGGGCCCGGAGCGTGACCCCCTCCCCCCCGGTGAGTCGGCGGGAGGAGGGGGGGCCCGGAGCGTGACCCCCCCCCCGAGTATGCCTCCCTGGGAGCGGTGGGGGGGCGGAGGGGAGGCTTAGGACCTCTCTCCCCTTGTGTCTGTTGTTGCTTGCAGGTCTCAGTGTGGTCTTGGTGGCTGGGCTGGGGGCAGCGGGGCCTGCGGGATCACAGGGGTGCGCTGTGCTGCGGATGTAATGGGGTGCTAGGGTCTGAGGGGTCACAGAGGTGGGTGATGTGGGGCAGGACCAGGGCAGACGGGGAGGAGGCACAAGGACAGATCTTTAGCTAGAGGCTGGGTGCCGTGTCCTGGCTGGATATGGGGCATGGGATGTTCAGCACCAAGTGTTAGGCATGTGGTCGCTTGGGCTGGAGAGGAGGCTGGAGCAGGTGGCTTAGGGGAACCGGGAAGGGATGAGGGCAGACACGAGTGGCAGGTTGGTTGGGAGAGTGATCTCAAATCACAGCAGTCAGGCCGCAGCGGGGTTAGTGTTCCCTTCCTCACCCATGTTCTTCACCCCTCTCCTCACGCTGACAGGAATTAAGAACTTGGGGAAACAAGTGAAGTGTCCCTTGGGGAGGTTTGTGGTGTCCTATGCCAAGCTGTCTCCCGGCAGGCTCCTTCCTAGTCTCCGGGCATTGTGCTGGCACCGCGGCTTTCTACATTTCCTTTATTTGCAATGTGGGTTCGATCACTGTGCTTTCTGATGACTGATTTCCTTCTCTCCCCTTGGGCTTGTGCCTGACGAGGAGGAAGAACATCTGACCTGTGTGTGTGTGTTGTAGGGGTGTGTGAGAAAGAGACAGGCAGCAGCCCACAGCAGTTTCAGGTCCCCAGTGTTGGGCTCATAGAGGGTAAAAGGACAAAGCCCTCCTGGGGGATTTTCTCAGCACAGATCACAGAGAATTAAATCCTCCAAGAGACTCTTCACTGAAATGCAAACAGTCAATGTGGGAAGAAATCTTTCCATAAATCTCCCCACTGTATTTTCCACTGAATGCATCCGATGAAGTGAGCTGTAGCTCACGAAAGCTTATGCTCAAATAAATGTGTTAGTCTCTAAGGTGTCACAAGTCCTCCTTTTCTTTTTGCGGATACAGACTAACACGGCTGCTACTCTGAAACCTCTCCGAACACTGTCTCTCATGGGCGCCAGAGGCAGTGGCATCTATGGGTCACGATCTTAGGCAAGGCACTTCAGATCACCTTAACTATCCTTAATTAAAGGCACGTTTGATCGCGTTCCTTGATCCTCTGCTATCACTGCTAGGCTGTTCAGAGAAGTGCAAGTAACTATCCTTGGAGCCCTGGTGCTGTTGTTCGGAAGCCCTCTCCAAGAGCATGCTGGGCCACAGGATCAGCTTGCCCTGCATGGCCTCCATCTGGAAGTGGGCAGGGGAATGCTGTGAGTGGTAGGTGCCTAGAATTGGACTGAGAGTGTGAATCTGTTTGACTTCAGTTGTCTGGTCTCTTTTTCAAAGGGAGCATGGTTCCTGGTTAGAGGAAGAGTTGGGACTGGAATGTAACCCATGCAGGGTTTATCTTGGCTGCTCTGGGGCCGGCTCCCAAGTGGGGGTTATTTTCATTCCTCGACTGCAGGAGAAATGGCACGTCTCTGGGTGACACCAGTTTGGGCTGTGGTGAGGAACAAACTGGCTGTGCTGGGTGCCCACAGTAATTGGTCTGATTTTATCTGAGTGAGGCAGAGGGGTGAGAACTGTTGCTCCTGAGATAAAGACAGGCTCTCTTGCCTGCCCATTGTATACACAGGGAAGGTCACGGGTTCAAGTCTTGTGTTTGAGAGTTGGCTCTGCTCCTTCTGGGGAGTCTCTCAGGAGGCCATTTTGTCCCTGTACCAGGCAGGCCATTGCCACGGGTTGAGAGATTGTACACCATTTTTTTGTAAGGGACAATGAACATCTCATGGGCATGCTTCTTCTCCGCCCCCCAAAGAGTAAGGATGACAGTGTCTGTGCTGAATCATCTGCTCTGCACAGCTGGCCGTTGTGTGGCCAGCCCTGCAATGGGAATAGAGCACTGTGGGGAACAGGAGATTCCCTTCCATAGTCTTGCCCATCTGGATGAATTTATGTAAACCTGTTTCTATGCTCTGTACAGTGACTCTGGCACAGGGTTATGCTGAATGGTTCTAGCTCTTTGCTCACAGTACTTGAAAAATCCAGTCCACTTATTTATTGATTAGCTTTCTTGTAGTGTGATTTAAAAGCAAAATGTTACCTGCTTCGGAATGAGAGCATTTTTGTAAAAGTAATGCTTCACCATTTTCTCCCCTCTTCCATCCTCAGACATTCATTTGCCTCCCAAAATCTCTGTGGTTGGGTATAAGATGTGGGAAGTGACCCATGTACACCCTTGAAATACTGCCACCTCTGGGGTGGAAAACAGCTGTTTAGGATTGCACAACATTGCTTTCCAACAGTTTAGGACAGGAATGCTGCATCAGTTAAAAACCACCAGAGGAAATCAACAGGCAGGCTGTAATGACCTGGACTGGAGTTTAGCCAGGCCACATCGGGAATATCCCAAGCTGGATACTTTCTGTTGTTTGTTTGCATCTTGGATACACATCTTTATGTGACTGTTATTTGAACTGCTCTTTATTCAGTCTTACATGCTATATATATGAGCACACATAGATATGTCTATCTTACACATGTGCACCTTCGTATTGCTCTTCTATTCATTTAGGAAATAAACACTGCTCTTTGCAGGCGGTGTCACGAGATGGGGCCTGTGCTGCAGTGTGGATTAATGTCTCAGACAAGGGCAGCAGCAGTTGTGAATATAGCAAAAGGGACCACTCCTCTCGTGGGATCACCAGATAGCAGGTCCCCTCAGGCTTCTCAGCCTGAATATTGGATGTGTGTGTGATGTACTCATTTTCCTATACTTCCTGGCTCCGGGGAGAAACCCACTCTGTCTTTGATGTATTTATTGCTCTTCAATCATTAATCTACCTAAAAATATGTTTTTTTATGAAAGACTAGGCAGAAACACCTAGTAGTGAAGTATAAACAGCCAGTAATCTAGCCTAAGAAATCCCACCGTGTGAGAGCTCCCAAACAGGCAACAAAGTGAATGCAATAAATGAACTTTGAGAGGTAAGGGCAGTGTTCATTAAGAATCTGATTTATTCTCTCTATGCGCATCTCTCTTCAGGGTGAGGGGTGATAGCAACATATCGGAGTATGCTGTCCAACCAGTACACTGAAAATTTTAATGTTACTCTGTTGAGATAGATGAAATTTAATTTGGTCCAGTTTTGCCCAAGAATATGCTTTCAGTGTCCAAGGTGCTTTTGACCAAATTCTCTGTATGCTGCAGTGCTCTTTTCCCTTTTAATACCCCTCCCTCCTGAAAACCTACCACTAAGGAAGTACTTACTTATGGGCAACCCTGCAATAACTGAGCTCTGTTGTTGGGCTGGTGTGGAGCTGTACGTTGTGTTACTCATTGGTGAGTGATACAGGTGTGACCGCTAAGAATGGGATTCTGTCCCTACGTGTAGAGCGGAGACAGGTCTCCTGGGGTGATATGAGGGCTGTAGTTGTGTGTTTTGGGTTCAGTTGTTGTGTGTAACTGTGACACACCAGGTGTTCATTGGCTTTGGGTTGCCCACTGTGCTTCTGAGCAAATGTTAATCAGGGAAACAGACAGAGCAGAGCCAATTTATGTCTCTTTTGACCTTGCACTTTGGCAGACTTGAGCCAGGATTTCTGTAAATTCTTTAGGGCAGGGACTATGTCTCATTGTGTGTTTGCACAGTGCCTAGCACAATGGGTCTCTGATGCTGATTGGCGTCTCTGGGCACTAGTGTAATAGGAATATTAAATACACTGTATTAAGTCTCTTTGTCCCTCTGCTACTGAGTGTTATGTAAATAAGATGGTATTTATGGTTCCAGGTGCACTGTTTCTGGGATGCAACACATGGAGTGTGTGCACAGTTGCTTCCTTTAAGGCTTTTATGCCCCTGTCCTCATTGTGGTTGGATTATCTGGCATTAGAAACAGCCCTGCCCAGAGAAAATTATGGGCACATGTTTACACTGCGCAGATCACATGCCTGTTCAGTGACAAAGGGAGGTGAGGCCTGCTGGTGAGGGTTTTGCTGGGAGCAGTTGCTTGTACACACAGACGCACCCGCTTTGGCTGACCTGCAGAGCGGTGGTGCCGGAGGCCTGGGGCTGAGCAAGGTGAATGCTTGGCTGCAGTGGAGGGTATTCGTCTGAAATCCTTACACAGAAAATCTTTGTGTGGCTGTTGTCCCTAGTTTGGCTGATCAGTGTGTCCTTTATAAATTTGTAGATTACATGGGAACTCCCAGGTCAAGGGGAGATTTCAGGCATCTCTTTGGGGATTCACTGGAAGTTACGGACTGATGTTTTCCTAACCTTTGATCCATTCCTCCACTCCCATATTTAGTGCCCCTAAGAGCTTGTTACTACAAATGCAGCCAAGTTCCCCTCTGCTGCTCTCCTCTTATTCCCACAGATGCATGAAGGATCAGGAGCCCTGACTCCCACTCTTGTTCCTTTACCACCAGGCCACTGTTGTAATGTATGGCCTTCCTGTTTTACTGATATGTTTATGCACATTTAATGTAGATATATAAGTATCGTGCTGCTTGCATGTCCAGAAAGGAGTACACATTGCAAAAAGCTAAAGCAGCGTTAAGGT